TTTTTTTTTTTTTGGCCCAAATTGATTGGAACTTGTATACTATAGGCTCCAAAAAAGTAAAGGTGAGAAAAAAGAGAAGAGCTCGGGTTGTTCCAAAGGTTACTGTAAGCTATGATTTGAAAACTGGCCCCAAAAAGCAAAAGGTCGAATCACAGTCGAACCAGTTATGATAAATAAATATATTTATATACCGTAAAAATAGGTTAATTTTCAGAGTTATTTAATATATAGACAAAAGCACCTGGTAATGATTAAATTCGTGTACACTTGAATTTTTATTTTGTCAGGCAGTGAATTGCTTAATATTTTTATAGTATTTTACTGTGTTATTAAAATAAAATTAAATAAGCAAGATGAAGCAAATTGGACTGTAAATGGAAAGAAAGAAAATAAAATCACAAGATTAATTATAATAGAACACCACACCATTTTTTATAATAACCAAAAAATATTCCATATAATTTTTTTTTTCTTTTTATAACACTTCTACCTTTTTAAGTTATTCAACTTGTATAATTAAAATTAGTTTTACAAGAGTTCTTTACAACTATATTTCAACTCAGTACTAGGGCGTAGCTTCTTTTATCCCCCATCCGATTTTTCTTACACAGTATAGAAGATATAGGCTATAAATGGGCCAGGCCAACAAATGGACAAACAACTTTTCTCGCCTGCCTTATGCTGGAAGTTGGAAAATAGTTTTTTTTTCCTTAAAGTAACCAAGCCAGTCGGCAGAACTGGTGAAAAAAGTCATAGATCAGCTGGTTAGTGGTTGGACCTTTAACCAGTTCTACTTATGCAGTTTTTAAACCAGATTTTGGACCGATTCCCAGTTTTTCCTGTTGAACCGGTCCTGTTCAGTTTTCATAACATTGATCATAAGTAAATAAACTTTTATTAATGCTTTCTACTCCTATAGCAATTTCATACCCCAATTGGCAATTCATTACGTCAAATTTGTTCATCTCATTAACACTCTTTGTGCATCTAAATACATCGGTTACACCAATGCATTGATTCGAGCACACACACTAAAGCGTGGATGTTCAAACACATATAGACAGTGAGAAAGAAACAGTACTGTTTACGGCAAGCCATTCATTGAAATCCTCCCCAGGGGGTAGCCTTACAGCTTCTCTCAGGTTTCCACTGCCTAGAGTTGCATCGATATGCTTTCTCAGTTGTGCCCCCTGAAACACATAAAAATGTTAAATTAAGGATTAGGAATTCAGTATGTCTTGAAAATGATTTGTTAAGTAAAGGTTTTCGCGTGTAGAATTTGGAAATAAGAGCAATCAAATTAGCTAACACAAGAAGAAAAAGATGTGAGCATATCACCATCATTCTTTAGAAGAGATGAATCAAGGAAGATGAACTAACAGCAAACAGGTTGCATAATATCATTTTAGGTCATAATCTTAATTCCGCATCCGAACTTCAGATGCTCCACCTTATCAACAGAAATAAATGCTACCATGTGGACCCACTGTAATAAATTCATTTTACCACCAAATAAAAGTAGCAGTTAAAACAAGTCCCCATTACATGAATTTACAACACTAATCCACCATCAGCTTATAGGAAAGGACTCGCTCATAATTTATTCCATTTTCCAGCTTTTCCTCAATCCTTTCAAATGAAACTTAAAACATAGCTTCAGTGCTTCCTCAAATATGGTAACTCATCAATAGCGGCTTCTTTATCAACTACCAGGGAGATGTATGGAATGTTCAAACAATTTCATTCTTGAGCAAGATGAAAGAACAGAGCACTAATGTAGTTTTTAGCAATGTTTTGAAACGAGCCTGGGCATCAACCCTGGAAAAAGTAAAGGATCAAACGGTTCGACCGAGGTTGAACTGGAGTATAACCAGAAATAAAAAATTAATTCAAATTTAACTATAAAAATATTGAACAAAATAAATTCATTAACAATTACAATTAAATACTATAGTATAATATGTAAAATTCATGAAACAAATTCAGTAAAAATTGCTATTAAATACTGTAGGTAAAATTTAACATACTACAGTTGTTTTCAACTAACATTAGTTTCATGTCAATTTCATCGTTATTGAAGAGTGGGAAGTTAAAAAGTCGATAAAAGTGTATTTGTTCACTCTCCCCCGACATTTCAAAATGTTTATTGGGAATATTGTATATTTTATTAAGTGGATCTTTTCCCCTCCCCACCATTCATTATCTTCGTTTTTCATACAATAATTATTAAGAATCTCAGATTTCATTTCACAGTTGTTCACCTACGAAGGTGCCAGCAAAGGAGCTGATGACAGGAAAGGTGACCTTCTCCTGCCTTGTTATCCCTTTCTTGTTACTTCTAGTCCATTTTCCCCATTTGGATGGCCTTTTTGCTTCAAAGGATGAGAACCAGCCAAATTGGTAAACCTGAATCCAAGTCTATCAATTCGCCATTAACCAACCATGTGAGCAGGCTTTACACCAGTTGTTTACAAATTGATTTTTGAGCTCTAAACAAAATTGTGTTCTGTCCAGTTCCTGGTTTTTCCAGTAAAACCAGCTGGTCCAGTCTGGATTTCATAACACTGGTTTTTAGTTGGGAATTTAAGATGGCAACATAGAACAAGAGACTGAACTCCACAAGGCAAAATAGGAAAACAGCAGAAAAATTGAAACAACATCTTTAGGAGTATATGGCTGTTTAGTATAGGGACAACCTTACTGCCTGATGGTGCGCTTTTCTTCGGTCGGAACGTTCTTTGGTTCCTGCTTCAGAAATTACAAATCAAGCTATATAAGTCATTGATGAAAACAATAGTATAGCATTTTCAAGCACTGGTCGCATTTAATGCTACTTTAAAATATATTTTGTAGGTTCATAAATCGTAATAATATCCGACCGTCAAGTTATTTGCACTCAATGAACTCCTTTTATGTCCTACATTTATCAACCAGATCCCTCTGTCATCCATTAGTGCAACATAGCCATGTAAATAACCGGACTGACCATTTCTTGAAGACTTCTAGACCATAGAGCAATAAACACAACCTTGTGTGTTTTGACGAACTTTGAAAAATGGAATCACTATTCGACTCTAGTTTCAAAAATGGTTCTACTTAGAAACAAACCAGTGTTTTAAAAGATTAAATACTGTATCCATAAGGCACATGTAAACCTCCAAATAGTAAAATAAAATAAAAGACACATGGTAAGCCAAAATTCATCTAAAATCAATAATAAAACCGTGCAACAAACTTGAAGGCCAAATTTGAAACTAAAAGTATAAATGGATCGACAACGTAAAAAATAATAAAACAAAGTAGTAATCACAAAACAAGAACACTGATCCATTAATATAAGTCTAAGATAAGTAAATAGGTGTGCATTTCAGTGCAAGAGTAAAGGATAGGGCGTATAGGATCTTCAGTAATCTCCTATTGTTTTAATTTAATGTTATAGATTTGTATTGTGTTCCAAACTGCACTAAAATCTTTCATGACAATGCAGGATATTACAAAACCAGCACAAAAGGTTTAGGCCAGTAAAAAAAATCTAGTAAGGGCAAGACTTAGGGCACAACTTAGTCATTGGCCTCAACAAGTTAAGGACCTTAAGGTGTAAGCGGACAAGGGGCACCTAAAGCATAAGCTTTGACAACACTAAGGAATGCCTGGCATGCCTTGAAGCATGTGAGAGTTCTAAATTCATTCAAATTGAAAAAGAGAAAAAAATGTTAACCTAAACCATTCCAATAATCAAGTTTAAGATCATTAGACAACTTAACCAACTTTGCTCATGTTTCTTTAGTCAGTCTCATGTCCTAGTAAATGTATAGGTCTCATGAAGTGGGCAGGATTAGCTAGGGAGTACCCATAAATGACACAACACTTTGTGTTCAAATGCGTTAAGAAGTAAACAACAAAATCCACTCTCATGGGATATAAACATCGGTATATTATCCATGAGGTGTCCATTCCTTTTGATGGAAAATTCATTCAAATGCATCGTGTAGAATAGCAGGTCCATCTTCAGTGGGAGTCAAATCATGCAACATAAGTTGGTGGTGATTGATGAGTTATTAAGGAATGGAAAAACAAAATCCACTCTCATGGGATATAAACATCGGTATATTATATATGAGGTGTCCATTCCTTTTGATGGAAAATTCATTCAAATGCATCGGTAGAATAGTGGGTCCATCTTCAATGGGGTCAAATCATGCAACATAAGTTGGAGGTGATTGATAAATCATTAAAAAATGGAAAATAAATAACATAGAGGTATGAATGTTCAACAAGAGGGCGGAACCTAACAGGTGAAATTAAAGCAACTTAAAAGGAAAAAAAAAAAAAAAAAATATAGGGGTACAGATGGATTTAATAATTTGATGCCGCATAAGATGGCTAGTTGCATTAAAAACCCCAAAGAACATTTTAAGGGATTCACCGGTAGAAACATATCTAATGAACAAATTTGTGGTGGAGGGATATGAGAATTTTTGTGGTCTCCTCCACCACACTAATTCATCATGTAAGCTGTTGGTCTAGTTGAGTATTACAGTATAGGACTAACTACAATAGAAGCTAGCAATTTGAACAGGAACAAGATTAAAAGGAGGAGTTTAGGGCACTGCAGATAGAGACTTATTGTTGTTTAGTTTAAACAAATTCAGCTGATCGGGAAAATGTTATATAAGTTAACCCTGCACCAATAGGACATGATAAGGCTCGTTGACTATGATTGGATTGGTAATAAAATATATTAATGCATTCATTCAATCACAGTCGTGATAAAGCATGTAAATCTCATTACTTCCTATTTTTCTGATTCGAGAAGATGTTCCACGAGCATATTAGTGCCACGTTGCAAGAAGAAAAATTCAGAAAATCTCATGAAACTAGGCTGCAAGATGCTTTAGTTTGAAAAAAAGCATCCAACGTAAATAGCCTCAGTAAAGGAATTCAATAGGGATAATAACCACTGTGAAACAATCAATCACAGATATAATTAATTACAAAAAACATACTAACTGATCATAGATCATGCTCCAACAATATATGCCACATAATCGAATAAATAAATTTGCAATCCCTCTCCTGATCCTGTTTTCACAATCATCCAGTCAAATGATATTCAATAGTTTAATACTTGTATCTTGCAATATTATCCCCTCCCAACATACAATTCAATCCTCTGTTCATATTTATCTTCAAATGAATAACAAACAAGTACAAACAAGTAAATCCCAACCCTAATTAGATCTCTCCTCGCCATATTCTCTAATAAAAATACATTCTTTGATATAATAAAATTCATATTATGTCTTAAAATTCCCATCAAATCACATATCCGTCAAAGAATAATAGAATATACAGAGAATCCCAGATGAGAAAAATCAACAATAACAACAAATAACAATTCGAAAACGAAAACGAAAAC